TCTTCGTTACAAAACCGAACACACGGGGGACCGATCGTCGGGACCGACCAATGTGATCCGGACCGACCAAACGGTGCACTCCACACCACTGATTGGGTCCTCTGTTGGCATGCGCCGCTGATACCGATTCCGCCGGCCCATATGTAGAGCCCACGACCGCCCTCCGTCGAGGACGACGAAGACGGCCACCTTGTTTACCAATCCGGCGACATCCTGGCAAATAGATGTTCGTGAATACGTGAATACACTCATTGTAGTAGATTTTAAGCAAGCCTCAGATCGATTGGTCGATCGATCGATCGGATCGGTTACCCACGGTATCTGCCCAATGGTCTCTCTTTAGCTCTCGCTCATCTCTACTTCGCCTCTCTCCTACCCCCTCTTGCTCTCGAACGTCTTCGTGTGTCTTTTTAAAGTTAGACATACCTTGTCGATGGTTCACTTCCATTTCCAGAGTTCTTCATCAACTTCTTCGTTCCTTCTTCGTATCTGTACAGTTGTTACAAAGATCTCGATTCTTCCTCGATACTTCTGAGATCCCTCCTCTTCCTTCAGAAGCTCGGAAGAAGTTGAACAGCCTTGTGTCCCAGTTCTAATCGTTCTAATCGTTCTAATCGGCAGGTTAGAAAATAGCTTTTATCTTGATTTCTAAAGAAAAGTTTATTAACACTGTTAGACTTGTCAGAAAGCTCGGATCACCTGTAATTACCGTAGCGATTTTTTACTTTTACAAATATTCGTCTCGAAATGACGTTGTTAATTAACGCATACGTGCAATACGCAATACACGTGTGAATCTGACTCACTGCTTCAAACATGTTCGAACCATCTTAAACACGTTCAATGCTCTCTGTTGAGCACCTTTTCAACTATCGTCGAAGGTTTTTTCAATATTCTTTACCTCTCTATTCTAGACTTCTTATTTACCTCTGTTCAGGGTTTCTTATTAACTATACCAAAGCATTCCCATCTGCCATTTTGCGCGTAAACGCGTTCAATTTCTCAGAGAGTGTACTAATTTCCTCTTCTCTCTGTTCGCTCGGGGTTCGTTCGCGCGATTGATAACTGGAAACTCCGTTGTGGAGCCAGTGGGAGAGACAGAGAGGCGAAGGAAGGAGGAGAGACAAAGAGAGATCACGCTTGCGCTATCTCCTCGATACCGTCTTCTTCGGGATGACGTGTTCCTTCTGTCTTTGAAACAGGCGCACAAGGGCATTAGACATTCGCTCTCATCGTCCCGATGACTTTTTTTCAATCGCACGATTTTTTGTCTCGATGATCCGCTGCGAAAGCTACGAAAATACTCTTCTCCCGCGATTTGTCACCTGTGCATCGGGACTGGATAGCCAATGTCATGTCCTCGGGCTGCCGATTTTTTTACGATTAGGGTACCTCAGCCTTTAGGAGAGCAGCAGTTCCGATCGATAAAACATAAAGCTCTATGATACCGTTTTTTTCACTTGAATCATACATCCGTTCACAACGTACGGCGTACAGAACACCTGTTCCGTCCGAACGTCCAACAGGAAGTGCGTCTGTATTGCTCTTTTCTTTTTCTTTTCTTTTTTTTTTCTTTTTTTTTCTTTTTTTTTTTTTTTTTT